GAAGCGCAGTTGGCTGCAGGCGTCCACGAGCTGTTGACGTACGGCTTCGCTCTCGATGAACGACCGCGGATTTTGCCGTACTTCCTGAGCTTTTGTAGCAATCTGCCGGGCGCAGCACAGCGCCAGAATAGAAATCACCCAATACACGATCCCGGGTAATGCGACGTTCATCAGCAGATATTCCGTCCGTTTTCGAAAACGCGTTTCTTCCGGCTACCAAGATTTATAATAACGATCGTTGCACTACTATCTGTACTACTTCTACTGAAAGCAGTTTATTGCCTTTTTACTACGTCAGCGCTGGCTTAATCAGAGCTCTGATTACTTATTACCCTATTAAAGCGCACACGCATACCTCATGGGGAAACGCGTAGACCCTGCTAGTCAGGGCACTGATGGTATCGCATGGGATCCTTAGGGCCGCCAGAAGGAGAAAGACAGCAGTATAACGACTGACCGTTGCCGCCCATAGATTTATGTTTTCGGTGTGGCTAACCAGTTTGCTATAAACATCTGGATGAAGCACACCCCCATCATTCGGGGTAGGCCGGGTAGCCACCGTGTTTTCCAAATTTTCGGCGTTTGGACTATGCTGTCCACGAGCATCCTTCCGAGCCATCGTTAAACGAATTTTGGTACTGGTTCGAAAAACGGTCTCAACTACAAGGGATACGGTCTCAATAGATGACAGTATGAAAATAGGTGTCCAAAGCGGATTTATAAAGCGGTTTCCGCGTTGTAGGAAGGCGATGGTTGTTATTTGATAAAGCAGTCTCTCCTGTCTAGAAACAAGCAGCCATATTTGTTGTTTCCACAATTCCTCCTCTGAGCTGGTGCGCTGACGTAGCACAGCGGCATCGAGGACAGGAAATCGGTAATTCCACGCAACCGAACAGCGCTACAAGAGGGATTTCCGGAGACGGTGCTTGCTACAGCGGTTTCTTAAATGTTTACTAAAGGGATTGATTCATAGAAGCTGTTTGTTCAGCACGCAGCCGAGCCAAATAAACACACAGCCATGCCGACTGCCATAAACTTGGCTCTCGTTTCGCAACCTAATATACTGCAGTGACTTATCGAGAAGAGGCAGTCGAACCGTTCAATGCCACCAAGCGGAACAATAGGTAGAGTTTCCAATAATCTTGTCTACACCGGAGAAGCTCGAAAAATTCACCGCGTCTAATGAATTATGTTTCGGATGAGGATGCCGAGTTTCCCCAATCCATTGCAAAAGCGAAAACTGGCTGAATTTTTATTGATATGTTAAGGGGACGCAGTGTTGTCAAAGCGGTTTACTATGTTTTGGCTAACGTTCTTACTAGCTTACCGTGAGTGCTGCATGGCTGTGGACGTTTATCGGAAGCTGCGCGTCCTGTATTTTCTAAACCTGATTTTATTTGCTGTTCTTCTATGGCTCGTACAAGATGTTCTTATAAATTTGTCCTGGCCGCACAGTGATCTGGGGTTTCTGACTTCTGGTATCGTAATCGTAGATTACTCGTGATCTTGCATCCTTTTACAACCTATAGAGTTCGAAAATCCTCGAAGCGCATGTTTAAGCCAAGCTGAGATGCTGCAGTAGCATTTTTTTAATAAGCTAGATTGTGTACGCTGATTCCTGCCGGCTTTGCAAGCCGCAACGTCTCGTCCATGGTAAGACGAAAAACAAAATTTCTCTGCGAAAAAAACAAGGTAAAACACACAGCCCGATATTTTTTATGCATAAATGTAAGAAATAATAAATACGCGAACAGCAAATAATCACTAATAAACTGCAAGATGCACATACAACAATACCGTAATCTAAACCTACAAGCGCTTAACGTTTTAAAAAGTTAAGGCATTGCTACCAGAAGATTCTTAGTGTTGCAGCTAGTTCACGCGTAAAATTATTGATATGAAAGCATCTCAGGTCGCCCAACAAAACACGGTATTTGTACACAAGTGGAAAGCTAAAATTGCTCACTTCTGGCCGATTAGAAAGCGTAGTGTTTTTAATTTCACCATGAAATGCGCATCGTGTTATCGGTTGTCAGCAGAAATTGGCATGCTACGCAATTCAACGTAGCCATGGAACATTTCGCACTACAGGTATTCGCCTTCAACGTCGTTCTTCAAGCGCGAAGTCAGCCGCATCCACCAACACCAGAAGGAGAACTGCCCCACATCCAGCCAGCAACGAAGAAGATTGTTCTCTATATATGCATGGACTTCATTCTCCAGGTAGACATTAACGCCAATATATCCATAATCAACAAGGAAGTTGACCATGGGACCGAACATTATCGGGGTTGTGCAGAAGAGTAGTCTGACGCAAGCCGTCACGAGCTGCTGACGTATGACTTCACTCTCGACGAACGACCGCGGATTTTGCCGTACTTTCTGAGCTAGTTCAACGATTCGGCTGGCACTGCGCTGCGCCCAGATGGAAACCCCACAATACACGATCCTGGGTACTGCAATGGCAATAAGCAAGAATGCCGTCCGCCCTTGAGAACGCGTACCTTCCGCCTGCCAAGATTTATAAGCACGATGATTGCTCTACTAGTAGAAAATGAATCAATATATTCTTACCATGCCAGCATATTACGTATAACGCGTCAGAGAATAAAGCACAAATCAGTGGTGCGGATTCAACCCAAGGTAGTGGAAACAGTTGTGATAGAACTTTACAAAAGTAAAGAGTAAAGACTTTGGCAAACATTTTTTTATTCTTTTAATTTTTTTTCTTTTTTATTTCTATACTTTTTTCCTTTTTCTTTCTATAGCGGTCAACGTATTTAAACGCACACGCATACCTCATTGGGAGGCGCGTAGGCGCTACCAGCCATGACGCTGATGGTCTCCAATGGGATCCTGAGTGCCGCCAGAAGGATAAAGGCTACAGTATAACGACAAACCTTTGCCGCCATTTGGTATGTGTTTTCGGTGTGGCTGACCAATTTGTTGTACACATCTTGGTCGAGCACTCCTTGATCGCTCGCGTCAGTCACCGTGTCCCCGGAATTTTCAGCGTTCGGACCGTGTTGTCCACGAGCATCCTTCCGAACCATCGTTAAAGGAATTACAGCCAATATGTACCAAGGTACCGGGTTGGAGAGCGGTATCAAGGGAATTGAGACGAAATGAAATATACAGTAGCACAAATAAACAGGTGTCAAAAGCAGATTTGTTAAGTTGTGGTCTTTGCGTTGTCGGAAAGCGATGGTTGTTAAAGCAGCCTAAATACTAGCAGCGGTACCTTTTGTTTCATAAATTTTAACTCTGAGCAGGTGAGCTGGCGCAGCACAGTGGCATCAATGACACGAAGTTGATAATGCCATGTAACCGAATAGCGCTGCAAGCGGCATTTCCGGAAAAAAGTTCGCGGTGCCTGCTACAGCGGTACTTTTAATTGTTCACTAAAGGGATAGTTGCAAAGCTGCTGTTTGTTCAGTATGCAACTGAGCCAAAAACACACAGCCGTGCCGAATGTCGGCAACTCTGGTTCTTTTGCAACCTAAATTTACCGCAGTGCTGTAAACAGGAAACGGAAGTTGAACTATGGGTTGAATTTCCGACAACCTTTCCTTTACTTCCGCGAAAACTAGAAAAATTAACAACGTCAGATAAAATAAGGGGGCGGGTTAGGTCCCAAATCCATTGCATCGCAACGCCGAAACCTGCAGAGTTTCTAATAGTATTAAAGGGACACAATGTTGTCTAGGTAGTTTACCATGTTTACAACCTGTAGTGACCAGCACGCCATGAGCGTAGTTTCAGACTGGTTTCATAGTGCGGTGGCTAATGCATGTCATAGAAAATTTTGAGAGTCGGAAACACGATGTGCTGTACTTCGACTTTGCTTAAAAATTGTACACTTCACACTTGCACTTACGGTCCAGCAAATTGGTCACTCAATCGTCGACACCAGATCCACAGATACGAAAAGCGCCACATGCTCGGTTAGCTGAACCGCACAGTAAAAGGTACGGATCAGCCAACGGACAATCAGCCGCCCCATGTGGCGCGCCACATACCTGCTAATTTAATATCGTGTGTGGGAGATCAGTGTGCCGAGCCGTAAAATGGAAGTGTAAAGTGACCAATTTCCGAGTTGACAGTTTGTTTATTGACAGTTTGAATTCGCGCTTTTTATGCAGTTATTCGGGATAGGTTGTACCCGAAGTGGACGACGAATCTGACGACAACGCCACGGGTGCCACTAACCGACCCGGATACTTTGAACATCTGCGGCTCGTCGGATTCCGTCATCTCCAACCTCGCACCCATGGACACAACCACCCACGCGGCATCGGGTCGACGGCTGCTGCGGTCTGCGTAAATTCCTTCGCCGCTACGCTGTGACCAAGGTTATAATAAGGACGCCAACATGTGCATACACGAGCACATCGTATGCAGTAGCACAACCTATCAGGAGCTACCCGGCCGAAAATTATGTTCAAGCACATACCGTATTATTCTGCAAATTCATTAGCTCATTACTTTGCCTGTGTTAATGGCTGTCACTACGTATGTAATTCACGGAACGTTATTTAAGCGAGTAATCGTAAATTCGTAATGGGATAGCGCGACGTTGCAACGCGAATGAAAACCGATTTTTCTTTTCAGCTATAAAAATCAACGTTTGAAGTGTGCAGCCACATTCGCATAACAAATTTATTCTAATGCAAAGACCAAATTAAAAGCGGAAGCAGCCTTCCGCTCTTAATTGAACATATACTCGTTTACCAATAAACAAACGCATACTCCTGCATTTGATTATCAGATAATCCGCTGCTACAAACGCACGTACAACATATACATCACGTGTGTGGCCATAATTTCCGTTAAAAGCCGGCATGTCCCCAGAAAAGCGATACCGCTCTAACAACAGCAAACAAACCCTAACCGCAGTACAAAGTATAAACAAACATTGAACATGTTCTACCGAACCTGCTGTCCGTTAATGGCTGTCCTAGCACAGAACATACACAAGCTTGGCAAAATGTAAGAATGAAGATCAGACAGCGGCTAAAAATACACCACGCCAAAAATACAGCGAAGTCAGGCGAGAGAAATTTCGGCTAACTACGCTGTCGTACGATGAAAACGTGCAATAATTTATGGATGTTCCGAAATGTTTTATTACTGTGCTTAGCAGTCTGTGGTAGCAAGATATGTAAACGGATACCTCCATCCATTGAAACGTCAAAAGACGCTATGAAGACCGCAATACGCTCTGTACGGTGCATACTGCTCATGTGCGTACGCAATACTATGCATAACGTAAGTAATCGTGCCACGTAATTACATACTGCGTATCGTAAGTAATCGTGCCATACTGCGTATCGTAAGTAACCTGCTGGAGGACAACGCTTTCCGCATCAGTGTTGCGTTGCGTCTGGGAGCGCCGATCGTTACCCCACACGTGTGCGTTTGTGGAGGGTTGGTCGACGAGCTAGGCCGGCATGGACTTCGCTGTAAGCGGTCCGCCGGAAGACTACCACGGCACGACGGAATTAGCGCAGAATTCGCCCGAGGTCTGAAGTCAGCAGAATTTCCTTCCAGAATGGAACCAAAAGGTCTGTCCGTGAAAGACAAGAAAAGGCCGGATGTGATCACTCTTATACCGTGGGCACGCGGAAAGCCGCTGGCCGTGGATGTTACCTGCGTGGACACGCTGGCAGCCTCGTATATCGACCGCACCTCCGTGAACGCCGGCGCAGCAGCCGAACTCGCGGAAAGGAAGAAACTTTCGAAACACGCTTGGCTGCAACCAAGATACGATTTTGTTGCCGCTGCCTTCGAAATCTACGGACCTTTGGGAGACGGAACAAAAAAGCTAGTGGAGAAGGTTGGAAACGGTATAGCGACTTCCACTGGCCAGAAGCGAGCGAAAGAGCTTTTTAAGCAGCGAATATCTATGCAAATACAACGGGGAAACGCGATTTGTGTAATGGGTACGCTCCCCTATCAGGATAGCATAGAGGAAGTTTTTCTGTTATAATGACGTTCTGTTTTGGTACTAAGTTTGTACTTGTACAACGATACTCATTAAAGGTCCGAGCTACTGCATATCACATATCGTTGCTAAATCGGGCACTGCGTACGGCCCTAACTAACTAACGTTTCGATGGAAGTAGTCAACATGTTAACGCTTGTTATTTTCTCAGACAGCTGAAACTTCGAAATTTTAACTTCTGGGTGTAAAGATTCTCACGATACCAAGCGCGCTCTGATTATAGATTATCACTGTTATAGATTATAGATTATTATATGCTATTCGTAATTGTGTGGGTAGTGTGGATACTATAAGCAAGGGCAATTATACTTTAATGCTGAGACTCGTTTTGAGTTTAAACATACTGAGAAATGAAAGGTAGTAGTAATTTCTTTATAATAGGCCACAACCGTAGTAGACAGAATACTGAATCCTGTAACAGAGACATAGCTGGCACTCGCCAGTACAGATTGCTGTTGGATGACACGCACTGTATTATGCGTGTTATCCACACACCAACTACGTAACATATTTTTGATTTTTATGTCAGTGATTCAGTACGTTTTATGGGTCGGACATTCTCTCTCACAATTTACAGTAAACACATACTGTGTGTAGTACTAGTGCAACAAAAGCGTACGGTACTAGCGCAACAACCGGCTCTTTCCGGTTTGTGAAAGTTATGTAATGCGCTCACCGCACCTTCCAAACTTTTCAAGTCGGTTGGTCTGTGCTTAGGGTGCTAACGGTTTATCTCGGGTAGAGTGTAATTACCAGTTGATTCATGCGGCCTTCAAACTAATGAACTCTCTGTTGGTAGCAGCCGGCACTATGTAGCGAGTAGCGAGAAGTATTTCCAACAGGCAGACAGAAAGACTTTCAATATACCAACTATACAGAAATCCGAGACCGTGGAGTTCGATTTAATTTCTTTTTGTGAAATTTGAAACCGCTGGCTAGGAACACACTTCCCAACGACACTTATTACATTTGTAGCTGCAGTTATCTACCGACGCAATAAACCGGAAACGAAAATTTTAATTGGATCTTCAGCAACGTTAGGAGGTGGTTACACGTAAGTCAAGCTTCGTTTTTATATAATAATTTATGATAACCACTGAGATTATGTCGGAAATAAAAGCAGCGCTCAGTCCTGGTGCAGTCAAACAATAAGCACATTGCAATTTGGATGTGCAGCAAAGCCCTCTCTAGAGTTTTTGGGAACGAATTAAAATAGGTGCTAATAATGAATTCTTAAACGGTTCTTGTTCAGAAATAATAGCGAGAAAATGTGTTGCAAAAGGCACACTGTTTGATTTTTCCATGTGTGTAATTTTCCATGTGTGTTTTCTATTTTTCCATTCATATACTCATGTATCAAACCATCGCAGAGACGATTTCCTGGAGTACTGCATCGAGCAGTCGGTCGTAATGTGCAACCGTTCTGAGTTTAAATGGCGCAAGTCGTTGGTAAAGGTTATAACCAGTATCTGTAGTGCATTTGCGTTGGTTACTTGTATGTGTAGAAGTACAAATCATGCGTACAGCTAACAACTAAGGCGCTTTTGCAACTGCAATGGCTGGCCAGCGCTACTTGTACCGATGCATGCGTGCTTTGTACACATACAAGTAACCAACGCACACCAACGCACTACTGACTAGTCATATTATGACTAGAAAACGACCCCGCGTAAATTGCGCGGAATACGTAAGCGATGAATAACCCAAGACTCAGTGCAAAAATTCGCTGCTTATAATTTACAACTTGTACTGTTGTATAGGTTTACTGAACGTGGCTTTATGAGGCAATCTGTAGAGTTAGGTGTATAGTAATTTTAGTGTTAACTGTTATAATTTAACGTTACGCATTCTGCATGTGTCGTGCAAAATACAGCTTTGGAGGTTATGAGCATAACCGCACCCGGACATTTGGGAGTGTGACATTTTGCCGCATTTAAATTCGACGCACGACCTTTCGCCGCGAAGACATTTCGCCGCGGGACATTCTGACGCTGGGACACTTCGGTTTGGGACAATTTGCCTTGAGACATTTTAACTTTGCGACTTTTTGACGCAGGACGTCCGGTCGCGGACACTTCGCCGCAAAATAATTGACACGCTTAATTTTACGGGTTACTTGGAAGGTTTTCTTAGGTTTTTAGGTATCTTAGGTTTTTTAGATTTCTTGGGTTTTTTAGATTTCTTGGGTTATTTAGATTTCTTAGGTTTTTTAGGTTTCTTAGGATTCTTAGATTTCTTAGGCTTCTTAGGCTTCTTAGGTTTCTTAGGTTTTTTGGGTTTCTTTAACTTTCTTAGGTTATTTTCTTCAGAGTTCCTGGCGAGATGACCTCGCGGCGAAATGTGTGCGACCAAAAGTCCTGCGACGAGTTGTCGGTGGCGAAATGTCGCGGTGCCGAGCATAACGTATCCTTGCTGTAACATTCGCGTTGTAGTGGCGGGTATCTTTCAAGTAATCCAGATAATTTTCTTAGCATTCCTGATGGAGTTCGTTTGGGATGCATAAAGTGATAAGGATACTGCAAAGATGCGGTAAAATACTGCAAGTGATTAAAAAGTTATATTAGATTAGAGAATATTTGACGTACAGATATGCGTAGAAGATACTGTAGGATGCGGTGGGATATTTTGGATACAAGTCAAAACAAATTTCTCCTGAAAAATTTAAAGTGTACTAATTGTGCCATAGGTGTAAAAATGTCTTATGACATCATCGAAACTCCATGTCTGGGACGCGCCTTTAAACCGGGGATGCTGTACGACTGTCGCAGGGATATGCTGGTGCCATCATTGACCTTGTGGAACCCACAAAAGCTGAAAAGCGAACTCAACTCGCAGCCTCAGCTGTACACAAACTGTGAAATGATCCTGAACGACACTATAAGCGAAAAGTCATCAAAACTCGGTGTGGACGCCGATCTTAAGCTCAGCTTTTTGGGAGGTCTGGTATCGGTTTCCGGTTCCGCCAGTTACTTGAATGACACAAAAAAATCAAGCCATCAAGCACGGGTAAGCTTAAAATATTCGATGCTATCGCGTTTTGACGAGCTGACGATGGCGCATTTGGGTCCCGGTGACATCGAGCATCCGCATATATTCGAAGGCGATGACGCAACGCATGTTGTCACTGGTGTACTTTATGGAGCCGACGCAGTGTTCGTGTTCGACCAGGATGTTGGATCATCTGAAGAAGTCACGAAGGTGTCTGGGAATCTGCAGGCGTCCGTGAAGTCGCTCGTCGGAAGCATCGAAGGCGGTGCTAATCTCGACTTTAATACCGGAGAGAAGGCAGAATATAAAGGCATCAGATGCACGTTCTATGGAGATTTTCATTTGAAACAAAATCCTATCAACCTTTTGGATGCAATGAAGGTTTACAGCGACCTTCCTTCCTTAATAGAACAAAATGGTCCGGTGCCGAAAAAAGTATGGCTGTATCCTTTAACAAAATTAGACAGCAAGGCGGCAAAGTTAGTACGTCAGATAAGTTTATCATTGGTGACTCAAACGGAAAAGATCATGGAAAGTCTAAATGAGGCAGACATGCTGACAAACGATTTAATCAAGTCATGCCATCCAATGTTGGATGGACTGAAGTTTCAAGCCGAAACATTCAAGCGGTTAGTTACTGAATTCAAGACTACCTTCCAGAAACAGCTTGTTCCTATTTTGCCCAAAATACGCGGCGGAGGCATTGAAGAAGCAACTTTGGCCGAAGTTCTTGAAAACGTTAACCGGTCACCATTTTCGCCTGCACTTCTGCAAATGTGGCACAAAAGAAAGCATGTTGAAGTCAGCACATTCAACTTCATAACCGCGCAGATCAAGCAGTCTCTTGAAAATACGAATGTTCTAATCGCAACCCAGCAGGCGGAAGTGGAAGAAATGCTTCTCAGTTTTGAGCACGACATCGTTCTCGCTCTGGTTTTTGAAGCCGGGACACATTCAGATCCCTTCTTAGAACAACTGGAAAATAGCCTTCGCCACACTCCAAACTTGACAACCTTAAGCAGTACTCTGACAGCAGTCACAGCACCTCTCAGAAATAATGCCGCTAATAATCGAAATGCAGCAGTTCGCAAAATGTCGAAAGATTTCATTGATTTTGTTCGGGATAACACGGGATCGAAGAAAGTGAAATTTATTGTTTATGCAGAAGGAGAATGCGGGGATGGTGTTGCCTACCCCCGCATGGTGTTACACGATCTACAAAATGGAGAAGTTATTCCGTTTACTCCACCGAGCGTCCCTGGTATGCCGCAGTGCAAATGGGAAAAAACTACCCCATCGGCTAATCTTGAGTGGTAATTACCTGAACACGGTCTGGATCATGTGGTTGCATATAAAATAGAATTTATTGTCGATGAAGTGGGCAACGACTGGACAAAATGCAAGGAGTATACGACAACTAGTTCTACTCCACAAGCCGTTATCGATGGGCTGGACCCCGAAGAAAGCCACGTTTTCAGAGTGCGAGCCGTTACCCGCGCAGGTCTTGGGGCTGCAAGCAAAGATAGCCATTTAAAACCGCGTACGTACTTACAGTAAAGTTGTAGAACATGTCAGCGTCGGATCAGTAATGCATCGAATCTTTTTTAGGACTCGAAAACACGTTGACCTTCGCAGGCAGAGAATGGATCATTCTGCATGACAAAAGCCCAGAACAGTATGCGAGGGGTGTTTTCAAAAAGGAAAACGTGTTTGTCGATCATCAAGACCGGTTACATCTGAAGCTAACGTTCGTCGACGCCAAGTACCAAGGCACGTATGGTATACCGCGGGTGGTGACCACGGAGCTATTAGGTCCTGGTCGTTATGAGTTTGTTGTAGAAAGTCGTTTCTATGACTGTCAGACTTTTCCAAACCTAGCCATATACAGTGGTGGACCGGATGAACTAACGTACAATCGGAAGTTTAAGGATTCAAATCCTTACGGCGGTCATTCCGTAACGTCCGTCATCGGTTGGCCTGATTTTCAGAAAGGCACTTACAGTTTTCAAGCCTCCTTAGACAATCCGGAATATGTGTTAGCCCACTCCGGAAAAGGACTTGGAAAGGCCGTGATTAAACACTCATACGACTGGCAGACCGACAAAGTCGTTTTCACGACCGAGACGGCCAGCGGCCCTCTAATTACGACTCTTTCTCCCGAGAATCATGCGCAGGTTTATCGGAATATGGGGGTAGAGGCCAGTGGCCCTATTAGCAGGAATCCTGGGCATATTTTTCGGAAGCCCGTTCCGCTTGTTATAACAGTAGTTCCGCAAGGAACTTATCCGAAAATCAAAGATGAGGTCGAATTTATTATTCATTCTTTCAAGTTTGTTCCACAATGAATTTCTTATACAGTTATCTGTTTAAATACGAAGTTATGACTAAACACTTTCATGTATTTGTCTTGGCTGCTGCACCTTAAGTAAATGCATACTGGTGCAGTGATAAACTAGCCCATCGTAATACCCGTATTTCGCCAGATTTATGAATAAACTACCGAAGCTATAATAAGTGCATTTTATCCTAAAGCGCTTCGTAAAAAAGCTGTCAACACGTGAGTAACTGAGCTGTGATGTCCGAAGTCAGCAAAAAGCCTTTGGCTTTAAACATTGCGCTGTAGCCAGCATTTCCGATTATTAATAATATAATAATTAAAAGCTTTTCCTGGCAATTAGGCAAAATATCGAAATTACGAAGGTGAAAAATGCCCGACCGGTAGAAATGCGAACATTTTGGAGTTGGGTACGATTTTAGTTTCCGTTTACGCGCCTTACAAACCGTATTCTTTTCAAAATAGTAATCCAGATTTAGGTCTATTGTCACGTATGGGATATACCAGAGCCAGCAAACTAGGAAAGATTGCCCAAAAGACCGAAACCAATATTATATCAAAAGCCGTAGTCGAAAATCCGGTCAGATAGCACTTATTTCTTTTAAAGCCGCTCCTGCTTCGAACGCAAAAGCAAAATTATGTTTAACCACAGTGAAAGTAAAAACCCTTTCCAGAAGAACGAATTTATTTTTACGCTAGTGCCGTTTTAAGGATAACAACTGCGGTCGAGCAGAAGTACTGCAAGAGCACCGGCCGAGCAGCTAACGCTACATTAAGCTCAAGGCTTCGGGCAACTGTTTTCGTTTTTAATGGAATTTTGTTTAATGGAAATGGTTTTTTAATGGAAATTATTAATTTTTAATTTTAAAAAAACAATTATCGAAAAATAATTTTAATTATTTTAATTTAATAATTAATAATTTTAATTTAATTATTTTATTTTTTCATGTTTCTGCACTTTGTGGTCGCATTTGGTGACAGTGTGACAGCTCCGCCCATCTGTGTGACGTCAGTCTTTAAATAAATTGAATTAAAAATTATTTTAATTTTTTTATGTTTGTGCACTTTGGGTCGATTTTTGGTGACAGTGTGGCAGCTCCGCCCATCTGTGTGACGTCAGTCTTTAAATAAATTATATTTAAAAATTATTTTAATTTTTTAAGTTTGTCCACTTTGGGTCGATTTTTTGTGACAGTGTGACAGCTCCGCCCATCTGTGTGACGTCAGTCTTTAAATAAATTATATTTAAAAATTATATTTAAATTAATTATATTCAACGGCAACAGCGAACAGTTGGTCAACGATGCGTGCGAAAATTGGAAGCTGGAGTCTGAATGTGAAGAGTTGCCGTTGGATCTGGCACGTGTTCACCAATGCATATGGGATAACGCGGTAATACAAAAGGACGTCGACGTTTTGTGGAATAATGTTGGTGACGATAAAAGAGCCGAAGCACGTTTGAGAGCAGTTAGCACGAAGTACGCCGGGGCCTGGCTTAACGCCCTTCCCGCGAAAGTATTCGGCAACTTCCTGGACGATCAGACTTTCCGCATTTCTGTTGGCCTGTGGCTTGGCGCTAAGATCGTGGAGCACCATTCGTGTGCGAGATGTGATAAAGAGGTTGCGGAAAACGGATACCATGGGCTAGCGTGTAAGAAATGCATCGGGAGAAGGGAACGTCATAACGGCATTAACGATATCATATTGCGAGCGCTGTGTAATGCCGGCATTGAGTCATACCCGGAGTCCATTGGCTTTTTGCGCGAAAACGGAAAACGTCCGGATGGAGCTACGCGTTGGAAGTGGTACCGCGGACAGCCCTTAGTATGGGACGTTACTTGCAGAGACACGATGGCGGATTCATACATCGACGCTACCTCAAAGTGTGCTGGCGCTGCCGCCGAACTGGCTTGTCGGGAGAAGATTGGAAAATATAAGTCGCTTACTGATCGCTGTAATTTTGTCGCTTTTGCATGTGAGACTTTTGGCGCGGTGTGAGACCGGCATTGTAACGTTAAAGGAGATCGGTAAGAAGTTGTTTTTAAGGACGGGTGAGAGTCGCTCTACTTGTTTTTGTTTCAACGTTTAAGTTTGGAGATTATGCGTGGTAACGCTATGAGTGTTTTGTGCACGGTCCCTTCTCATGTTAATTGGGACAAATTCTTCATTTAATGATATTTGTTGAGCGAAGCTCGCCTTGTACATATTGAGAAATAAAATAAAATTTAAAAATTAATTTATATTTTATATATATGCACTTTGTGGTCGAATTTTGGTGACAGTGTGACAGCTCCGCCCATCTGTATGACGTCAAGCTCGAAATCAAATCATTTAAAAATATTAATTTTAAATTGTGTACGATTTACAAATAATTAAATAATGTAATATTATTAGTTAATTTAGTTTGGAAAGTTTAAGAAATAGTGGCAGTTTAGTAATATTTTAACAAATTATTTAATTCAGGGTCAGTTATAAGATAACTAAGAGAGTGCTTTGGGAATAAAAAGTATTCTAACAACTAAAATTCATTGGCTGGAGCAGACCAGAATTCGTAATTTACGGTATCAGAAACCTATCCGTAAATTACGAAAGACAGAGTAGTACCTGTAAATTTGGATGAGTAGCACTGTAGTACCATCCAAATAATTATTGGTACTTACCTAACCTACGTACTTTTGGTACTACTCATACGCACTTTGGATTTTGTCCATCAGTTGCAGCCTGCAGGTAGGCTGTACTCTGTAGGTAGATTTTTAGCTCAATTTCCCAATTGCTTTGCCATTTGACTGTGAATTTTATTTCAATTATTGTTGTGTTCATCCCGTAAGCATGCCTAAATACTCCCAAATTTATAGTATGAAGATTAACTTTTGATCACCCAAAACCTCCCGCTGTTATGCTTACTCACCGGTGTCACACTTGTTTATAAATCTAGTCAATACAGAAAATGCCAATGCCACTAATAATTGCAAGAAATGTTCCAGTATTACATTCGCTAAATTTCCACGAAATACACAGTCGCCTCTATGGTTGGCCATATAAAATTATGGTGAGAGTAAAACGTCAAAAGCGCACACTAAGTAGTGCTTGCAAATAAACTACAAACAAAGAACAAAAACGCTTGTATAACGAGAACTAAGACGCTGCAGAATGAAGGGTTAGGTAAGTCGTATTTCGGCCGCACAATTGGCGTGTGAAAATTCAGCTTTGTTGGCGGGCAGTGAAGGTACAAACATGGGCCGATTTGCGTTTCGCTTTACGGGAAAAATCGTTTCCGGTCCATCTAGTTTTTTCAAGTGATCAGAGATCACCTGTGGCAACTCATCTCTAAAAATTATTATGGTATAGTACACAGTATCTGTACAATACACTAGAGCTTTGGTGGCTTTCGGTTTGTGGATGTCTGCTTGTGCAGTGCGTTTACCGGGTATTTGATACATAATTTTATGCTGGTTTCACTTTTTCTCCGGGTGTGCATTCTAATGGTTTGGACACGGAACCGGAATTCTGGCATTCTTTTCCAGATTTAAAATAAGTTTTAGAACTTTCGAAAGTTATTCTAAAATTTGAAAAGCATAATGCAAACTTGGTTTCGCGTCTTCATGCTTATGTGCAATTTTTTGCAAAGTTGGAAAGGATTCGGGCAATAATGAGACTGTGGGTACACCAAGATGTATGCTTTCTAACTTTTTGGAGCTTTCTTACAGTCGTAACTCCCGAACCGGATGTTGCCCCACAAACAATTTTAACACTAACGTATACGTACAAACATTAAATTTTAGCTCTAGAATACAGTAACACAACGCATAAAGTGTTTGGGACTCAAGGAGAACACGAACGTTCATGCTTCTACCTGCTTTTAGCATGCCTGTTGCCAAAATATCGACCTACTTAAAAAAAACGGTTTAATTTATACGTTTTTACTTTTTTCCATTATACAGTAATTACCTTAAATACTGTATTGAGAGAACTAGAAGTAATTCTGGCATTGTGGTAGTGGCAATCGTCCATAGCGCTTTTACGATAGAAACTACGGGACAAGCTTGCACGTGCATTTGTGCATAGCGTGAATATTAAGGTGAAGGTTAGGCAATTAATTACAAAAAGTCATTAAACGTTTTGGAGCATGTATCCAGTTAGACAATGTGTAACCCACATTTAAAAAAATCCGGCTCGAAAACAATGGATTCTTGACTTCAAACGTAAACAAAACATTTTCAGACCTCTAGCACGACAGGCGAGTGTTATCCCCTGAGACGGATCTGAGTTACGCAGCTGCACTGTCCTGACCGATCGAAGCTGCAGCGCTGTGTCTTCCCTACGCTCTGTCTCTCACTGGCGTGCGCAGCCTAGTGTGAGCCGGTCAGTTCGGCTTCCTTGGTAGCGTCAGTCACATATTGTTTATAATTTTCATAATTTATGTTCGTTTTGCTAGTGCATTAATACTATTGTACATAATTCAACGAAATGTTGTCCAGGATAACAGGCTGTGTACTAAGACGAAAGTGCCGAAGTTTGAGAAATGTAGCTTAACACGGGAAAAAGATATAGCGTTTCAAAATTTTTAAAATCAATTTTAAAATCTATAAAAATTTTTTTCGAGAAGCTGTAATGGGCACTTTTTGGGAAAAGCCTTTTTATGCAATCGATCCGCTTAGGGGGTAACAAAACTTCGAAGCGTTCAAATGCAGTTCAACGATACGCATTTTGTTTACAGCCTGCTGTTTACGCGTAGCCTGCCGATATTGTGCTGATCACGATGCACCATTCGGCAGCAAAATTATCCTGCTGTTAGAAAACAGTCGCGATAGCGCTTTAACTACATACAGTAGAATGATAGAGCCTTTAAAGTGAGTTGGTCCATAATTGCCTAACCCTCGCGTTAAGCACGATAAAGTGCTTCTACACATTGTATGCAGTAGATACGGTTTAATAACATGATCGCAGAGCTACAGAAAATATTCCTCATACTGACAACAATGCAAACAGTCCCTT